TACTATGCTTTTTGTATTCTTTGTGGTTTCCATGGAAATCAATATGAAGCATTACTTTCAGAGCAACCTGCATATTTTTTTGTTGTCCATCTCGTTTTTATACTTAGTGGTAACTATGAAATGGATGTTCGTGCTTGCTTAATATTTGGAAAGGTATTTTGCAAATAATTATGATCATTTCCTTTTTCTCATTTTCCTTATCTTACCTCTTGCTTGGAAAAAAAAAAAAAAAAAAAGAGAGAGAAAAAAAACAGTAAATCTGTTGGAGGTATTTACCCACTAAGAAAAGCTGGAACATCTGTCTCCCTTTCTTCAGTAGTCAGAACTACAAGAGAGAGATTACGGTGATGGGAGAAGAGAGCTAACTTTGTGTATGAGCTCAAGAAAGGAAACTTATATACCAGAGCTGCATTTGATTGACAAAATAGTAGGATGATGTTTGAGGCAAGAACTGCCTTTTTGTTTGGCAACACAATAGGGTTCTCTTAAGGATTCTCAGCACTACTCAGTATAATTATATGATAATTGGTCCCAAAGATGGAATGAGTGAGATTGGATGGTGGTCTAGGGGGTCCATTTGTATTATATCTAATTTAATTATGTTTGATATTGACTTTTAATACATATGGTAGCTATTTCCTTGGTATACAAGTAAGGAGTGTATGCAAACTTGATGTTTGCTTGGTCTCTGTTCTAAACACACACAAATTTATTCTTAGGAGAAACATCAGCTATATCTGCCTCATGTCATGCCGTATTCTAATTCAAAACTAAAACTGATTTGTTCCAGAAGATGTCTTGAAGCACAAATATGTTGTGGTTTGTGGAAATGTGGGAGGTGTGATGGAAAGAGCAAATGTCTATAGATTGTACTTCAAAAAACACTGCAACTTGCTACAGAAAAGACATAGTAAGTTATTGCTGCCTTGGAGCAACAATCCACAGCAGGCATTCACCCCTTTGCATGGGACAATATAAACATTTTAGTGGATTTATGAGCATAAAGGAGCATCTGGAGATGATGAGATTGTGTAAGACTAATTTTAGAGTCTGAATTAAACTAATTCCATAGCTGCAAAAGTCGCCACTCTTTTCTATCCTCTTCTATAAAGAATGTCTATGGACTATGGTAATATCAGCATTTCCCAACCAAAGGCAATGGAAAAGACTTAATGTACTACTGTTGGTAGTGGTGTGGTGCACACTGGTTAATTCAGAGGAGGATGTAAATCCTTTATGAAAGATATTTATGTAATCAAGTTTCTAAGGCAAGTTTCTTTTCAGCATTTAGCATCTGGGTTCCATTTTAACATGAATAGATGACTGTCTCTAATTTATTTCCATTTCTCACTTTTTACATAGAATGTATAGCATGCCTTCCTGTATTTTCTTTTTTTTTTTTTTTTTTTTTGTGTGTGTGTGTGTGTGTGTGAAATTTCACCATTGTCTCCCAGCTTAAAATATGCACATTGAAAATAAATATATTAATAAAGAAATGGTGCTCAATAAAATAAAGTTTGAAGTCAGTTTTGGTTTTGGAAATCTAATTTTCTCACCTGACGTATGTGAAATACTGAAACAAAAGTTTCATTGATCTTTAATTTCTTTTCTTCTTCTCTCCTCCCCCTCTCCTGTGGTTCTTATTGGCGAAATTATTATTTATTATTGGAGCCCAACAGTGATACTTGCTGAAGGTTCAAATAGTACAGAGCTCAGTAGGTGAACAAACACAGAACATTATAAGAGCTCAGTCTCAAATGCCAGAATGGCATATATGACTTGTAAGGTTACATCACAGCTTTGGCCCGTCATTTCTTCCCAAAGTGGCTGATGCACAAGAGGAAGCTGGAAGCAATAAATCACTTCACAGTGCTCTACATGCATCCTGCTCTGGGCCCCTCTGGCAATAATATGACTTGAGGCTGACAAGGATAAAATCCTGAATCATTTGAAATCAGTTGGAGTTTTCCAATTGATTTGAAGTGAAAAATCATTTGGTCATGAATTAGTGGGCGAAAAATTATAGTACCAAAGGTTGAAGAAGTGATGGCAGAAAGAAGTCATTCTACTTGAATAATTGAAACAAAAAGACAAAACAAAGCAAAACAAAAAAGCTTGTCGAAGGTATTTCTGATGTGCTTTCTATCAACTCACCAGCAAAACAAAACAAAAAAAACATACAAAGGAATTCATAAGCACGAAAGCCTACTTTCTTATGCATTCATTTCTTGAAATTAATTGAACTACATCTGATAGAAGTTTTGGGTGTAAAATACTGAAGCATTTAATCTTCCAAAGATTTTCTGTATTTGCTATAGGGATGCTGTTATAATTTCTCATTTGTTCATTTGACCGCTACTTGATACAGGATGGAGACCTCGAAGTTACAGTGTTTCTCAAAAATACACCCAAAACTTCTGATATTAAATCTATCCAATATTGGTCAGTGATTTGAGGAATTTTTAGATGGCATCGATACATACAGTGTAATCACACACATTCAGCTTCCTAGCTTCAAAAGCAAGTTAGAATGAATGAATATGGTATTTCTGAAAGAAAACCCTTTTAGGAGTAACCAGAGATTTTCTACAACAGGAACTTCAAATGAGCTTAGCTGTACTAATGCTTCATTTATAAGATAATAAGAATTTTAAATTGTTTTGTAGAAGGAAAGAGATTTGTATTTGTCAGCAAAGCTCCAGTAGTTACCAATTCCAGTGCTTCCCTATGTTTCTTCATGCATTGCCCAAGGCTGACAGAACTTTGATTAAAAGGGGAAGAAATGCCAGATACCACCTCCTTCTCCCGCAACCACCCTGGAGCAATTATGACAATATTTAACTTACAAATCAAAATGACACTATGAGGACCCACCCTTGTAAACAGAAACAGGAATACAATTTTTATTAGCTTTCCAAGAAAAATGAGAAAGTTGCATGAGCTTTCTGCTCATTATACTGTATTTGAAAGAAAAGCCTTTTGTATTCCACCTTTAAATGCATAGTCTTGTCTTTTTTTTTCTGTCAGTCTTCTAAGAGCATATCTACCATGGTTTATCCACATCCTGATCTTGTCAAGTCTTGGATAAATTCTTGCTGGTTTCACCAAGAGCAACGTTGTTCCTTTCCTATCATTCAACAGCTTAGTTGCTGAATTCTTTATCTGTCGATCTGGCCATATTACCTTCTTTTCTGCCTCAAGGAGCTGGCGAAGTTTCACTCCACCCTATATATTTTTTTCTTATCTTGTACTTTTGTTCTTCTACAGCTACGCTAAGTTTGAATTTTTTGTTTCCTAGAGCTATTGCTTCAGTATTACCTTTTTTGTCTTGCAATTCAAGATGTGAATTCCTGGCAAAATGCACTGATTTTGCTGAGGATTCAACATTTTCTTTAGAAGGCATGTAAATTCATCTCAAATAAATGATCACTGTGCTTCTAAGTGAGAGCGGAGGACTATAGACACAATTGGCTTTTCTCACCTGTCTGCCATTTTAAGATTTCAAACTTCTCAGGTACGGGTATCTGACTTTTTATATGTTCCACTATAACATAAATACAGTTGGATACTATGTTTTTGTATTTTAGACATGTTGCAGGTCTCATTTCCCATTTCAATTTGCATGTTAGAAATACTGGCAATATTGGACATGTGTTCTGATAGGCATAACTCATTCCATTTTGTAGTTCTTATTTTTTGTATGGTGTATTATTTAAGATGTTTTCTGTTTTGATTTTTTTTTTTTTTTTTTTTTAACTTGGAGCAATTAGATCTTCAAGTACTTAAAAAGTAAGATTTGAGCTAGTGCAATATAGGTGACATCCACCAGTTTCTGGTAGTGGGCTCTTGAACAGCTCATGGAAATCTGTTGGTGCTCGACAACGTAAGATAGATAACAGCCTTATGATTTTGGATTTGTTTGTTTGTTTTATTTTTATGTTTCTTTTGTGTTTGTGTTTTTTCCCCCCCGTTATCTCTATGAAGTATCACTGTTGAATTTGAGATATTTAGCAGTGTTTAGCTAAGACATTCAAGTGTCTTTAACTCACCTTCCCTTCTCCTTTACTCCATATCAAGATAAGTCACAATTTTGCAATAGAAAAGATTGGGTTCTCTCTCTGTGCCTCATGGTTTTAGGTGGGGATGTTCTTTTGATTTTTTACCGAACTAGGAAATTATCATGACATTTAGTTTTGGGAAACAGCCAGCAACTTTCCACGGCAGGGTGAGAGGAAACAAAGTTTGGCTTAAGTAACGAGGCTGAGTTTAGGTGTAAATGTTGCAAACTGTAGGTGCTATGTTGGAATATGCTATATGTCTAGTACTTCATAAGCAGCCATGAGTTCTTAACGTATTTCCTTTCCACAGCTGCAAATCTTCTTTGACTTTTTATTGAGTTGGAAAAGACATGCTAACCTCCATGCCATATGCCTATTGCTAATATCTACTTATGTATTTTTTTCAGTCTCACAGTTTGATATGTAAATTGGCTGTCGAATTCCACCCTCAGTTTAATCTGCAGTAACTTTGTTGCTTACAGTGCAATGTGCGCTGCTGTAATTTAGATCGGAATCTGGATGTGTATGTAAATGTGCACATGTATATACACATGCAGTGCCTGCTTTCTTAGGTCTATCCGCAGACCTTCATTTTACAATTAAGAATGAATGATCTGTGTGTTGATTATTTTTATGCTGAACGATTTTAGTGCCGCTAACGAGGAAGACTTCTTAGGAGGAAGTTTTTCACCCAAAGGATGGTGACACACTGGAACAGGTTGCCCAAGGAGGTTGTGGATGCCCCATCCTTGGAGGCATTCAAGGCCAGCTTGGATGTGGCTCTGGACAGCCTGGTCTAGTGGTTGGTGAGCCTGTATGTAGCAGGGGAGTTGAAAGTAGGTGATCATTATGGTCCTTTTCAATCCAGGCCATTCTATGATTCTATGATTCTATGATTCTATGAAGGTAAATAATTTCAGGCTGCAGATGGATTTTGGAGGCACGGCTTTACAATGTCTTCTGGCTTTTGTTGGTTCTGGGCAGTAACTTCTGTCTTTCCACCTGACGTGCAGCACTGAATTTTCTGTGAGCCTCAAACCTCATTTTCATTTCACTTTGCGGAAAATGGAGGTAGGGGTGTTTAAGCAAGCAAGCAAGCGGTGAGGGAAGAAGGCAAGCCCCATCCCGGCAGCCTTCCCGCCCCCCACATCTCCATCACTAGCCCAAAGCCGGAACGCATTTGAGCCGAACTGCCCCAGCTCCATCATCTGCGCCGTGCAGAGTCATCATGGCCATGGTGCATAGCTGAGAGCCGGAAAGCAAACAGCTGCTGTAGCCTGATTTGAGTTAAAATAGTGTCAGTGTTTAGTCTGGCGCACTGCTTCAGGAGAGATTGGCAGCTGGGTCAAACAAAGTCATTCCATTGGCTCCCTTCCCAGCCAGCTTCTGCTAGTATTTAGGTACTAGTGCAGCCTAGGCCCCTTTTCTCAGGGATAGCCTAAGATCTGACCGCACCCTCCTTGCTTTTTAAAAAATGCCTTTTCACTCTTTAAGATAAATCCACTATTAGACACTCTGCCACTAATTGTGTATTAAGGCTGTTTTTCTCCTGAAAGCTGACGCATCCTGCTCTCGCCGCGGTGCAGAAAGCAGGCTGTTACAGTGCTGGATTCATAAAAGGGGCCTTTATAGCCGGTGAAAGAATATCTGTGTGCTTAGGCAGGAAACTTTTTGATCCACAGAAAAGCCAGACGACATCTAGGTAAGGCTGTGTATCGAATCTGCTTTTATGGGACAGCGGTGCAGTGAGCTCTGTTAATTGCGATCGCTTAATGTTTGCATGAGCTTTTTGATAATCTTTTTAGAAAGTTTAGGAAATAGCCGCTCCCAGGTCTCCAGCTCTTTCTCTCCTCCCCCCTCCTCACTCCTCCTATGGCTTTCATGCTCGCAAAAGCTCCTAATGCTCGGCTCCCTTTTAGCTGCAATGTGCAGGGGCGCGTCGCTTCTCGTGCAGGAGGGATCGCTTGTGGCGGTGCGCAGCAAAAAGTTCTGCCATCCAAGGGAACCGTGTGTAACAGGGCAGCGGTTGGGAGAGTTTGCAGGGAAAGCTTTCAACTTTTACAGACTGCCTGTGCAATCGTTTAAAAGTAGTTGCAAACCGCTTTGAACTAACAAGGGTTTAATTACGGAAAAGTTTAATGTGGCGATGGAAGGAATATTAAGTAAGTTGTCTTTGTCTTGTACTTTTTAATTTTAGTTGTTGCTTTAGCCTGTTGGGTCACATTTTTTGTCAGCACTGAAGGCTGCCATGAATTGGTAATGAGGGCCCCTTTTGCACATGATTTTGGCACTTGGCCAAAATCAACTTCCCGACGGCAAGCTTTCTCTAAAAGAACCTGAAGCATTTTTTTGTGATTAGGAATCATGTCTGAAAGCTGCCACAACCAGTTGTGTAGGCATGTCAAAATGACTTTATACAGTATATCTGCAGCATTCGGGGAGGGGAGCGAAGGGGGGAGAGGAGGGTCTGTTTTTTCCTAATGTACCAAATTGTTGCTATTAGCAGCCTGAATTTCCGCAGCTCACGCACCTCCAAAAACCAGGCTGCAAGGAGCGAAGGCATAATGGGAATCATTGGCACCTTTATGTTTCTCACCACGCCAAAGCAGCCCAAACTGTCACGTTTAAGCAGGATACAGTGTTAGGGATTGCTTAAAACACTTGTGGACGTAAAGCAGATGAATCCTTAAACTTTTAATCTCAGTAAATTATGCTCAGTTCACAGTAAGTAATGACATTTTCTAGAAGTTTCTTTGTTTGAATTGCATAATTGAAGCTTTTTGCTGTAACTGTTGAAAAATACGTGCCTAGATCCACTGATGGGGGGTATGCAAGGGAAAGCTCGGCTGTGCCTCTGGATTTATTCTAATTCCTTCAAGTCTGGGTATGGGTCTGAGCTGCAAGACAGGGAGCAGGAGTTGGGCTGTCCTTTGTTGTTGAAGAGGGGGAAAGCCAGTTAGTCTAAACATGAGGAAGGAGCTGTGAAAGTTCACATTTCAAGGGTGCTCCAAGTTCCGAAACTTGTGGAGCTCATCAGCACAGTAAATGGGTGATTATTCCTCGCTGATATTACATAAACAAATCTGGCACCGTAAGGGAATGCATTATTATTGTACACTCTAAGGTTCTGAGAATTTAATCTCTGTTTAACAAAGCAGCCCAGCAACTGGAAGTTAAGGACCTCCTCTGACACACAGTGTGTACTCTATCCTGCTGTCTTTTCCATGTGTGTGCGATGTAAGACAAAGTGCGCCAGGCAGGCTTTTTTGTTAGGTGTTTTTATTTTACATGGCAACTCTCGTGGCTGCAGCCTTGGAATTGCCTGTTTCTGCCTCGGTGTGTTGTTTGCTGGTGAGCAGTGCCCTACGTGCTCACAGCGTCGGTGCGGAGCAGCCGTTCCGCACCTTCCTGCGCCCTGCCCCCTGTTCGGTCCCCTGTGCAGTAGTTCCTGCAGTTAAAATGGGCTTTACAGGTATTGTCTTTCTGCTGTTCAAGCGTGCGTTTTCTGTAAGGTGTCTGTGTCTGTGTGGGTGTCTGTGTTTGCTTTATTACATAACACAAGGCATAACTGGACCGGGAAAAACCTTGTGCTTCGGAGACAGTCCAGTGCCTCGACTTGCCTGGGAGGGTTTGCTCGTTGTTACCTTGCAGGAGACTGAATCTCCATGAAGTCTCCTCTGAGTTTAATTGTAGCACATATCATTTGCAGTAAAAGAAAGTAGACAAGATTAAAATGTTGGGGGAAAAAAAAAAAAAAAATAGATGTAGAAAATGAGCAAACTAAAGTATCGTGAATAAGAGTTACTTCATTTTTCTGGGACATTTTAAAAGTTTTACGACAGGAAGAAATACATCACAGGTGAATCATATTTTCATTTAAAGTACTGTGAAAAATGATCAGGTTGAAGGCTAAAGTAAATGTGACAGTAAAATTTTAGCAAATCATTATGAAATTTATTTACCAATGTGTGGAAGTAATTTCTCATGAATTATTAAATTAGGTGCACTTAATTTCAAATATGCATATGCTCATCTAGTTACTGCAAAACTATAACTCTGAGATGTTTTCTTGTGGTATTCCTAGTTTTACCTAGAAGGTTTTACTGTGAAATAACGAACACTTGCTAGTGCACTAGTTCCAGAGGTTTTGGGTTCCGTTTTGGTTGTTGAAGAGCTGTGTTATAAATCAAAGCAAGTTATGCTCCAAAAACTTTTTGAAGGCTTTCTAAATCTGCAGTCAAATTTTGTCTGATAGCATGCCTGAAGTGTAAAATTTAATATATGAAGTAACAGAGAGTTTTACATAAATCTTACCACCTTATAAATTTGGCTTTTGATTGCGTGTTCTAAATTAGAGCTTTTCTACATCAGGAAATATATTTTCTGTACGAATATATGCACAAGTCGCATTTCTATCACATAAATAAGCAGTCTGCATTCATAAATTTTGAAGTATAAAGCTGAAAATATATAGATACTATATTCTGTTCTTCAATACTAAACCAGTAGATTAATATTTTATTGCAGCTAGGCTGGAAAAAGACTGATTAGCTACTTCTCCTGAGACTATAAAAGGTGAAACATACTAAGTAATCTGCATTATGGCATTTTTATTTTTAACAGCTGTCCAAAATAATGTGTTTGAATCTTCCTACTGGGAGGTTTTTATGTTTTCTATTTGTTTGCAAACATATCATGAAGGAGTACAATTATAAAGCTTAACTTTTCTTCAGTTTTGTATATTAGATTTTACTGCACAGAACAGTTGAACTCCCAGTTACCTATTCTAGTGCAGTAAACAAAAAAAAGGAATTCTACATTTAAAATATAAATTATTGCTTTGTAGCTGACATTTTTAATGACTGTTAGACATTAGTGAACTGCATGTTTTAGTAGCACAGTATAAATGTATGTGTCATAATACATTTGAATAAAAGTTACAAAGGTATTTGTAAAATACTGTAAATCATATGAAAAGAGTTAACACTGTAGAACATTTCTTACTTTAACAAGTTAGCATGAGGTCTTGTAGAAATAGCTTTTTTCCTGTATATGTTCTACTGCATGTTTTAAAACTTTAGAAATGAAACCGGGCAGTTTTTTGTTGTTGCTTTTTAAGCAAACTTTTCATTCATATAAACTAAGCACTTTGTTCTATATGTTCTAAATTCCAGCAATGAGATAAATAAATTGCTGCATTGGATGGAATATAATTATTGAATTTTGGCAGAACTTCAGTGAACTCTGCCATGAAAGATTAATGGGCACAGTACGCTCTTAGATTCTAAAGTAACAGATGAAGATAAAGGGAGTGCATAGCAGGCTCCAACCTTTGTGGTTCGGAGAAAATAGAAATGATGGCAAATGTTAACTTTTGGCATAAACTGCTAATGATAATGTTTTGTCATCTCGGTGATAAAAACTACAGAAAGAGACAAGAAAATCCAATTTAGCAGAAATTCTCTTCATTTCTTTCTTGCTCTGCTTTCCGTTTTGTTTGGTGTTTTGTTTTTTGTTTTTTTTTGTTTTTGTATTTGAATTGCTCTGTATTCTTTCAAACGGGAGAATGAAACAGGCAGACTACTTGCAGGATGCAGTAATATGGCGTGCTAATGAAATCCCTCCACATCAGCACATATGTGGTTTTTCACTAGAATTATGATTTTGGTTTGTGATTATGCCCCAGTGATTTAAAAACACAGGTAGAATTGCACCGGCTGCATAGAGGCTGCGCGTGCAGTCAGTGGTTTTTGTTGTTGCTTCATCTGCTCACTCTCTCCCAAACCTGAACAGTTTACAACACTTGTTTTGACTGACAAATTGCTGCCACAACCACAAAATAATATTCTGCTAGGCTTTTAAATTATTACTGCGCAAAAATAGTGTTTTTAATCAAGAACAATGATCCACTGTTAGGCCAGCCAAGCTCCTCGGGCGGGATCAACAGAGCAGTGAGGGCTCCCCAGTGCTTCCCGCCGGCTCTCTCCCCATAAGAGAAGGGCTCTGGGTCAGCGCTGCTCCAGGCGGTTGGGACCTTCCAGCACTGGGGCCAGGCACAGTGCCTGCCTGGGTGACCCGTACCTCAGCCAGGTGCTTCTTCAGGCAGCGGCTGGGTTTCGGGGCAGAGTGCCCGGCTGGCAGCCAGCTGGGGCCTGTGCCAGTGCATCCAGAGTGCCCCGTGCCTGGGGGGATTAGGCAGGGAGGATGTATCCGTGCTGGGTTTTTCCCTTGCTTCTTACTTCCTAACGGCTAACCTGTCGCTAAGGCAGAATGCGTTCAGCTCCTGTGTTGTAAAATGGCAGATATCCAGGATCCGGGATATATTTCATGACTTCAAAGACATTTCTGCTCTCCTTCCCAGTCACATCCTTAAGCTCATGATGACAGCGTTACGAGTGGGATAGTAAAGATACATACAGGCAAGGGCCTGATCTCAGCCCATTGAAGTCACCAGGGAAAACCCTCCCTGACTGTGCGGCTATGGGGATCCTATGCTTGGCCTGGCTGTGGCCTGCCAGGAGCTGCGCCTTGTCCCTTCCCTCCCTGCCACACCAACAGGGCTGGCACTGCCATCCTCCCTGGGCTGCTCTGTCAGTTTCGCTGGCACTCCTCAAAGAGGAAGGCATGCTGACTAACAGGCTTGAGTACTCTTCCTGACTTTGCAGAGGAGCAAATGCCCAAGCCCTTATTTTGCCCATATGCAGTCTTTTTCATTGTCTTACTTCCCTTCCAAAAGTTAGTCTTGCAGCTTACCTTCATTAGTCCATTAGTACTGCGGATTCAATCAGAGTTCAGAAAGTGCAGCTACCTGCCTGCTAGTATCTCCCTACTGAAGTGTTGCATTAGATAGCCTGTGTCCAATACAAAATGGATTTACATGCTAGATCTATCACTTTCTTAATCAGACATCATTTTTTTTTTCAGTAACATTTATTTTAGGACATCTTAATATTCAAATAGAAAAGCAGATTTCTATCTTTTGCAGAGTACAGTAGAGTGCTTCATTTAACTTGTAAGCATATTGAGTTGGAAAGCCTTTAACGAGTTATATTTGCAGTGTGCCTGTATTTCCAAGTAGACCATGATCCCTCTTTCTTTCAGGTTTAAGCAATTCACAGAAATGAAAAATTTTTTTAGCAACCTAGTCTGTAGGTTGCTAACCACAGGTTATATGATAGGAGGAGGAATATTATGCCATGGACAACAAATGTATTTGCAACATGAAATCAGATTACACTTTCACAGCAGTGGGATTGTGGACTGTTAGCATATTCAATCTCTTAAAGTATTATGAATATTTTTACAGAAATTACCTATGCAACCCAGGGAACACTCCTGCATATTATTTGAGTACATAGTAGTTGGGTGAAAATTTAAATTCCAGCTGGAGTCATATCGATGGCTCTGAGATGGCCAGAAGTTGGCTCATGGCAGGGAACCTCGCTGCTTCCTCTGGCCTGGAGAGCCCCATGGGCAGCAGCAGTGGCTGTGAGATGGAGGCACCAGGATGCCTCTGTGCTGGCAGTACTGGAGTGGCTGAGTGTGGCAGGAAAGCCCAAGCAAGCCAAGGCCATCACGACTGCAGATGGGTTACTTTTCTGCCTGCTAGCACAGTGACTGCCTCGCAATTCTGACATCAGTTCTGCTGTGAACCTCTCCCAAAGTGGGATGCTCTTCATGCAGCTGTAGTTCCAGAACCCTTGGCAGCAGGCGGTTACATGGGCAGTGTGCTGGGAAAGGGTTTTATCCTGAGGGGGATCCTCTGTGGCTTCGTGTCTTACCACAAAACCTACCTCCTGAATTAAAGGCTGAAGACGCTAGGCAAGAGGATGTGTTTTTTTAGATGTAAAACATTGTGAAGACTTTTCTTTAAGCATGGTAACTGACAAACATTAAAATATTCTAAGGCAATATTTTGATTTGTTAGTTACTTATACATAGCGTCAGTCAGAATAGCAAATTATGCTGAAATACAGTCTGTAAAACTGAGCACTTTACCCTTCGCAAAACTGCACATACTGGTGTCTGTTTCTGACAAGACCGTCCCAGGGCGTGCCAGGTCTCCTGGGGGTTGAGCATTACAAATTTTCAGCCTTTCCCTTTCAATGTGATATACTGAATTTTGCATGTCAACATTATACTCTTCCAAAACATGCAAGGAGTGTTGTAAAGAAGAAAAAGATTTCACGGAAATCTGAAACATCTTTTTTTTGTTGTTGTTAGTAAATAGGAACAGTGATGTAAAAAACCTGTTACATTTGGTTTGTGCTGAGTGGGGGAAGTAGAGGAGGAAGATTAAGTTTAGAAAACCCAACCTAATCATCTAAGTCAGTGTCTGCAATTGATGAAAATATTTGTAGCAGAATTGAAATACCGTTAGAGATCACAGTTGAAATAGCTTTTTGTAATCTTGGAGTATGGCTGAAGAAGCAGAGTCTTTGACTATAATACTCATGTATTAACAGTAGGAATGAAACAAATATTGAAAAGGAGTTCCAAAAGCTTACAAAATATCTCATTTGGGGGTGTATATTAGTTCACTAAATTCCAATTCCCCGACCAGTAATCATGATTGTTAATGTATATCTTTTATGACTTTCAGAGCAAGAGAAGCAAATTTTGGGAGCATGATCGTTGTGATACCCTCAGTGGTAAGTACCCAAACTGCAATCAAGTTTATTCCATTTTTGTAGTGTAGAGGCCTTTTAGAGACCACACTTGCTGCAGCTTAGTCACACAACGGCTTCAAATGTCGTTCTGGAATAATAGGGTAGTAATATGATATACTCTATAATGAAAATCAGTGTAAAGCACAGGTGGTTGCTAATATTTGTGTGGTCAGATATAAAAGCTTCACTATGGGCACAAGCTACTGCATTCCCACTTGAGGAAAGTATAATTAAAAGTGGTTTCCAGATGTGCTGACCCATGTCTGCCATTTCTAAAAGTGAATTTAGCAAATGCAAACTGGTCTACATTGCATTCATCATTATGAAAAGTTGATGGGTTTTCAGATGATAAAAAGGTTGGGAGCATCAATACCCTTGCTTTAAAACTGAGGTGTCTTTAAACAACAGATGGTAGCATTTTATGTTCATACTGTGTTCATAGGGATTTATGTGAGTAGTTCATAGCTAATCTGTGGCAAACATGCAAAATCTATCTAGACAAAAAATAACATTTATTTCATACAGATGAGAGGTGGTTCATTGCTGGCAAATTGATTTGCAACCAGAAAGTTACAGTAAGATGGTACTGCCGTTGTTTTGTTTCTCGGTAATGCAGTGAAATAAATAGCACCCTAATGCATTACGTTTTAGCTCCTTTATCCAGAATTTCAAACCTGGACATGTAAAATGCATCTTCTAATTTTGACTTTGTCTGTAGGTTCACAAATAGTTAGAAAACAAGAAAATAAGCTAAAAAACAATCTGTAATTCAGCTCAAAATGGAAAACAGAAGAAACTCTTAGTTATAGGTTTACATACTGCATTGTTAATTGAGTTGTCTGGGAAAAAATAGAACAAAATTCAGAAAAGATGCTAGGCTTTAAAATACGGTTGAAAGGAGATTTTGGCTCTTTTCATTTGGCTAATTACAGATTTTTAGGGCAAAATGTTTGTCCTAATATCCATGTAATTTTATTAGACCTTGTATTTCCCCTGGAAATTTTGTTGTCAAAATAAACTCTCTGTTTCAAAAGAAATTTTTTTCTACTCCAGAAGAAGCAACAGGGAAGAATGCCATGCCTGCCATCATCTTAGTAGTATTTCTGCTAGCACTACACCCATTACTGATTTCTATGTTTTCTAGAGAAGTTCAAAAAGTGTAGGCTGGAATCTATTAGGCTGAGGATCTTGGACTATTGACCAGGCTGCTAAATAATATGAAAATATGAAAATATTTTTTTAGATAGTGTGTGTAATATGGCCTGACCTTTGCATGCATTTCGTTTACTTATTTTTGCAGATGTGACTCACAGCATTCCTTGTCAAGCAAGAGTCTAATCCTTAATATTTGATTTTAGGGAAATATCAAGAGTGAATAAATTAAATATTTTTCATGTGTTCTTGGACTTTTCTGCAAGGAAGTTGCTTTTCCATTTAAGTCCCTCTCCCTCTTTTTTGACTAAGCAGAATTGAAGCACTCTTTGGAAGTGTGAATCTACTAGAATACTTCAGTAAAAACTGAATTAGTCAGAAAAACAAGTGCTCAGATCAAATAATTTTTAAAATAAATCATTACATTTAGACTGTGCTCAGGTTTTTTGTTTGTTTGTTTTGTTTTTGGAATTCATTTCGCAGTAGAAAACATTGCAAGTGCTTACATAGGCATTGACAGATTCAGTGAGAGACTCAATGCAAACTTGGTAGCAAAGATAATAAGTTCACCTGTATGTTCTTCTCTGTAATAACATAATAACCCAGAAAGTCATAATGCTGGTAAATTAGGGTGTTTTGGCTTGAATATTTTTATATCTCTGAGATAGAAATCTGAGATCTAGGGTGCTCAAGGCACACCTAAGATAGAATGGAACGTACAACCAGTGAGCAGGATATCAGTAACTGCATAGTGAAAATGCTGATCTTATATATATTGGTCGTTAGAACAGCAGATTTTTTAAAGTGAACAAATGTTTAATAACACTTTTTTACATTGTAATAACTGAGTTTAGTATAAATATTCTATTTTGATACAAAGCTACCAGCGACTGTTTTTACAAGTATGTTACTAACATACACATATACCTTTAATATTACATCACATTTATACCACTGTTTGCCCAGGAGGTAGAATTTTACCACACAGCTGTTATTAATCCTTTTATTTTCTGGCAAAATGACATTCAGTATCAAGCTTAGAAATGTCCACCAAACTACAGACATTCACATGTGAAAACGTGCAAAATCAATGCTACCTCGCTACTAAATTCACAGTCTATTGCTAGTGGTCACTGTCATGAGTTGACTGTTCACTCACTTAACATTCCGTACATTATTATTATTTTTTTTTTTTGGGCAAAAAGTCTGTTTTCTCAGGATCTCAAAGTAAGACAGTACAACTAACTTACTAAAAAATAGATTCTTCAATTACTGGGCATTTTACGTCCTTGCTACCTGTTGACTTCCAAGTACTTGTTGATTGGTAGTATTCTTATTAGTTAAAAAATAAAATGCTGACCCAACTGAGGGAGATGCCAGTTTTTTTAGGCTGTGCATCTAAGGACATGAGGAAAGTGGCATATTGGCAGGCAGAGATGCTTCCTTGACCATCAAATGTGGAAGACAACGCACAGATCCCCCCTCAAGTGCAACAAATCTGTCCTCTGTACTTAATCTATGCAATATCCTGCTGTATAACCTTCTGCCGGGTACTCAGTACAGTTGTGTAAGGTGTTGTATATATATGATACTGTTGTTGGCTACTCACTGACAGTTTTGCACGAACATCCTTTTCCAAGCATCTATACCCTTCTTGTTTGTAGTATTCCAGGGTTCAACAAGTGCAATGCATTCTATTTCACCCAGAAGAAATTAGAGATGACCTGCTTCATATTTTATCTCTTTTTAGAACATTTTTTTTGCCTTGTGTTTAACACCTCTTTATAAATCTTGCCAGCATTTATGTCTTTCAAATACCTATTCTTTGCCGTAATTGAGAGACTTTGTGGGTTCACAATTAGCTACTATAAGACAATGGCCTATAATCTTAGAACAGTTGAGTTAGACCTTGGAGAAGAGCGAGACACAGAAACAGAAAAGCTGTTTAATATTAAGACTCCTTTTAAGTAAAAATACCCTAATAATGAAAAATACAGACAGGAGAAAGATGCACTAAAATGTTTCCAAGAACTGTATGCTTTCACAATTTTAATGAAGTGAAATGACTTTACAGAACTTGAAGGTCAGAAATAATTTTCTTGGGTGTAGAGAATTATTGACACTTCAGAAATTTTTGATTTCTGAAATAGTAACGAAAAGATAGAATATCAGTTATTTTATAAATAAAAAATGGAGTAGGTGAATCGAATCAACTTTAATAATAATAATTGTAAAAGATTTCATTTTGATTTTGACTTTTTTGTATATATTTATGTTAGAATTTGGAAGAAATGTTTGAACTTTAAATCTTTTTCATATTGACAATGTGTAAATATAATGTTTCAGCAATTCCTAAACTGTTTATTTTGTTGTTTTTTTAGTGGAAAATGAACTGACACATTTCCTGGTGAATTACTTTGTTTTTGGTGAACCAGCCTTTTTGGAGGGAAAATTTTCTAAAATGTTTCCTGATAGCTGTATCACGTGACAAACATATTGTGTCTTTCCTGCCCTTTTAATCTTTGTGTTTCTGGCATTGTACAGTGTGAAACATTAACAGATTATCAACTTCAAACATAAGTTTTCTTGTTCCTTCTTAAAATGAAGTATCTTGCAAGAAATATATGCAGTCCATCTCAAATGCTTTGGCTGTGGATAAGCCTCATTTACTTGTATCAATATGACCACTGAAACCACTGAAAGTTGAGTGCTTACCAGTTCTCAAGGTGAGCATGTGTTACACCACTGTAAATATATCTTATATGAGACCTGCTCACAGGTCGTTGAGCTGAAAATAAGCATGAATACAGCCATACCCTCAGTTCTTAGTTACTGCCCCAAGACCTCATCTCTTTCAGTTTTTCCCTCGCAACAGTGCCCAAGCCTGCAGACAAAGCAGCATGCCTGCTTCAGGCCAAATAGCAGCAAGATGTGGTCCTTACGAAAACAGAAGCGGTCACCATGCAGACATCACCACTTTCTGTCCCACTGCATCGTTGGCCTCCCCGTTCAGACCTTCATTTAACTGGGCTAAAATCGTATGGCATTTTGCTGTTTCCTAGTAACATCCTGTTGTTTAAGGAAAGCTTAAAGTCACAACTCTTTGTGTGGTCGTCATTCAAACTGATTTTACTACTACATTTGAAATTTTTTATGAGGGAATATCTTCTCAGGTGTAATAGGCATTGTGCCTTCTGTCCTTGTGTGAATTTGCAAACTGTAGCACTGGAGGCTCTTCCTCTGTTTTGCTAAAACTGTCCTTATTCTTTCCTAATCAAATGCATTGGAACTGAAACTAATTCTGATCACAGCTGATTCAGCTCTACTAGAGACGCTGGAGAGTCAATATATTATAATTTTTTTTTTTTTATTTATAGGTTTTTGTGATAAAAAAAGGGAATTTTTTTTGTTCTGAGCTTGTTCTTAGTACTCTTTCTTAGAACTGGCTTCCAAGTTCAGATTATAGAATCATAGAATGGCTTAGGTTGGAAGGGACCATAATGACCCTTGAGCTCCAGCCCCCTGCCATAGGCAGAGCTGACACCCACTAGATCAGACTGCCCAGGACCCTATCCAACCTGGTCCTGAACACCTCCAGGAACAGGCATCTACAGCTTCTCTGGAGCCCTTGTGCCCATACCTCACCACCTCTGAGTAAATAATTTCCCCTAATATCTAATCTAAATCCCTTCTCATTTATTTTAAAACCATTCCCCTTTGTCCTATCACTATTAGGCCATGTAAAAAGTCAGTCTCCCTCCTGCTTATAAGCTCCTTTCAAGTACTAGAAGGCCACAATGAGGTCTCCCCAGAGCTATCTCTTTTTCGAG